TAATAGTCTTGTATTCACTATAATTATTAAGCAAAGGATTATTTAAAACTCATTTTTAAGAAAGATTTCAAAGACTTTCTGACAGTTTAGGTAAAAATTACGATTTGTTGTCAAGACTTTGTCTGTAGAGTATATTTTATATTTAATATATTTATACTATAATACAAGTGAATATAATTGATATGTGACTTAAAATTATATTTAAATTAATTCTCAAATGGGTTCACAAAACTCTTTGCTATCGAAAGTTAAAATACATTTCACGGGAAAAATATTAATAAGAAAATTAACAAAAACATAATAACAAAATGAAAACAAAATAAAAATTAGTCTCGAGTGAAATTTCAGATTATATTGCACTTTATAAACAGCTTTTATTTTAATTTCTAATCCCCTTTATTATCATAAATATATGTATAATTAAAACAAAAGATATTATCTATTGATATGGTTTTGATTAAGATCTAGAGGCAAATTGATTTTATTTCTTTAATTATCTAAACAATTATTTAATAATCTTATATTTGTTATTAAAAAATAATTCCGTTTCGCAACACATGTTTGGCAACGAAAATGCTGTCATATTATTATATTAATGCGTTTAAAACGTGAACTTATATTTACATATTGTTTCACAATATTTTTAGAAAAATCCGTATAATTATTCTGTGCATCAAATGAATTGCTTTTAACACTAATATTGGATATAATTTATATCATATAAATCAAAGAATGGCAATAAATTCTGTCAAACAAATCTCTCTCTCTCTCTCTCTCTCTCTCTCTCTCTCTCAATGGGATATTAAGTTCATTTCAGTCCAAATGCAAATTCATTGTAATAAAAATCTAATATAATGAACATAATACTAGGCTTTGGATATAATTTAAAATATAGTTAAAACGTCTTAACAATTAGCGATTTCTGTTCACCAGAAATAATAATTTCAATTCATGTGGAGAGCGATTGCGAGATATTATTAATTTCAACAAAAAATAATACAAAATATATGATAATTCGTTCACAAAAATTAGTTATAAATATTAATAATGATGAAGAAATGAGTGCATACAAGCAAATAGTGTACAGCAAATATACTTTACATACCTTAGCATTGAAGTGAATCTCAATAAACTTCCCAAATCGTGAACTATTGTTATTTCTCACAGTCTTTGCGTTTCCAAACGCCTCCAAAACGGGATTTGCTGTCAGTTTTTGGGAAATTATTTCAAATATTAGTTTAAAATATATATAACTTTTGTAAGTTTTTATATAAAAGAAAGGATTTTGTAATACCGGTAATAATAACCTATTTTTTAGTCTAAATATCCATCAATTTTCTGATATTATTTGGTTATAAAGAGAGTTCATTATATTATATGGAAAATAAAGACAAGAACTTAAATCTCATTAAGACATGAGATAAAAGGATAGGAAATTCTCAACACATATACATCTCTATTGGCATTGTATTCATTGAATGCAAACAATTTCATTAAATGTTATTAAAATTTTAATCAAATGTTCGTCACATTCATTGAAAAAGACAATTAATCAAAAGAAATACTGATTACACGACTAATTCTTGTCCGTAAAAGTAATACAAACTTTTTGTAATACAATATTATCGATGCGTTTAATGGCATTCATATTCAACGCCATATATTTATTATGGGATCTTTTGAATGGGATTGTGAATCAGATCGCAAAACAATTTAGCATATAATACACATCTAATACACATCAACATTAAGTATAATTCACTTTTCCATAAGTGTTTTGTAACGCTTGGCTTCAAAGACATCATCTCTTTCTCTCTCTCTTATTATACAATCCTATTCTTTAGATATATTTGTTATTATATAATAATTTTTCAATTTATATGTTTTGAACTGCAAATTCTTAACTGACTTTTTGTTTGTTATGAAATAATAATAAAAAAAGTTTTTTATTAATTTTAAACAATAAAGAGCTCTTCTTTTTTTCACCAAAATTTTTAGTTTTTTGTTTTATTTTTGCTTTAAAATGTCAAAAATTTTAGATTCAATTGATATTTAAATTAATCTCATTTTAACATATACTGTGAAATATTTGATGGATAGGTTTTGCATGTATGATATATTGTTGTTTAATCACAATTAACACACTGTTTATATACAAGTTATGTGTATATTGTTTACATCACAATCTCGTCCAAAAAATAAAACGCAAAATTATAGGCAAACTATAATATATTCACAAAATGGTTCAAAATGTCAAATGCTTTTCACGTCTAATCAACCCTTCCCTCCCTTTCCCATCCTTTTTCCACTCTTTCTTTCTAAGAAAAACTTTTTCCATTCAATCCATTGTTTAATAGTTCCACGAATTTTAGTGATTAATAATATTATTTTCAGAAAATATTTCGCACCCATAGAGGGGAAAGGGAGGCTTCAAACTGGTTTACCACACATGCAATACTACGGCTAAGAATATTGATATTTATTGAATTGAATGGCATTACACACAAAAATCCTGGTCATCCGCGGCGCTCATATCCTGTTTTCATTTGGACAGATAGTCCGCCCCTTTATTATTGTGTGCGAAAAATAATTAACTGACGTTTAATAAATAAAAGGTAAAGTATACATTATGAGAAAGAAACTCGCGTTTAATTACTGTAATTTCTAATTTTAGAAAGGGTTTCTGATAAGTTAAACTTAACTTACCGTTAAAACTCTTTTGGCCAAACGTTTGTACACTTTTACAATACATCTGCGAGTTGTAAACCAGGCTTTCCTTTAAGTAATAATTATCTTTGAATAATTGAATAATTTTTTATTTCTCTATCTCTTTGCTATTATGTGAAGAAAGCATTGAAATTGTGTTACAATTGTAATGTCCTACAAAATATGTATGTATTTTGTATGTTATTTAGTTTATGTGATATTTCAGAGTCATTCAATACAAGCGTAAAATTTTTATTTGTAAAACTTGTCGCACAAAGACCTATTTTTTGCTCTGTGTTTTGTTGTATTTAGATAAATAGCCAACCGTAAGTTTGGCTATAATAACAATTATAGCGTTTACTCAGCGATAAATCAAGTGATTATGTACTTATTATTTGTGTTGTTATTGGAAAAGGTATAACAACTTTTATATTCATGAATTATATTAATATTATTGATGTATTGTGTAATGAAAATGCCTTTTTCCCCATTTAATTGGTGGACATAAGTATTTTGAACTCGATATTTGAAAAGTCAATTCAATTGATATTTCCGTTATTTGTTAAGAGATTTAACACAGGAATGAAAATATATAACAAACCAAAAGCTGAAACATTGTTTTGAACTGATTTCTCTCTAAAGCTTTAGGATTTTTTTGTGAGATCTCGTGTGTATTCCCAATAAGTCAGTGATAAATGTGCGATAAATGAGACATCAATTGATATTAAATAAAATAAAATCCTGTTCTCCTGAAAGCCATTCAAACTTAATTATGAATGCATTTTGAATAACATCGTGTGTATTCCCAATAAGTCAGTGATAAATGTGCGATAAATGAGACATCAATTGATATTAAATAAAATAAAATCCTGTTCTCCTGAAAGCCATTCAAACTTAATTATGAATGCATTTTGAATAACAATTTTATAAAATAGTAGTTTTCATCTCAAAGGACGAGACAGATGTTTAGGTATTCATTATATTTATAGTAAATATAAGTCATATATACCGGTCTTAATAGCGATAATTCAATTCACACTCAAAAAAGCCTAAAACCATTCAATGAATATTTAAACTTCAAATAACATACATATTATATTCAATCGTTTTTATATATTTAGGAAATTTATGCCAAACTAATCATTAAATAACACGAATCATGTGCTGAATTCATAACAAACACATAGTATTTAGATATCAATTGCAAACACTTATATCGGCACTAATTATTAATAGGATAGTCATTGAGAGGACAAGCCTTGAATACATACATCAAATTATCAGCAATTTTGCGTTTAGAGAGAGAGAGAGAGAGAGAGAGAGAGAGAGGGGGGGAGAGAGAGAGAGAGATTTTTTCTTGTAATGGTTTAGGAAAGAAAAGGGGTTTGCATTTAAAGTAACGGCTCGACGATAGCTCAAGTTGGTTATTTCATAGTCATGGACTTTGAAATGAGCTGATCATTGTACTCCCGGGCCTACAGGATGGGGGTTCGACTCCCAGTAATACGAGCTCCTGGTCTGCAATCGAAGATCAAATCGATGAGAAGTCCAACTATTCGAACGACAATCACATGACATCACATACCATACAGACAACACGCCTACACAACACCGCTTCACACAAACAGTAGAATATAGACTATATGTTATATGATATGTATAAATGAAAAGTTTGAAATATGTAATATGTATTGTATATCAAAACACTTAATGTAATTGGATTTATATGAAAACCAGTTTGTACTGATATAGATTCCAAATAAAGTTTGATTATTATTATTATTATTATTATTATTATTAACAAAACATGTGTTAAATCAAAAGCTGTGTAAAGGAAATGTAAATTACCGTCGAGGATGAGTTGTTCAATCTGTCCGGACTGTGAGCCCCAGGACTCGCATAGGTATCGGAGCACATATTTGGTGGACTCTGTCTTTCCGGCCCCACTCTCGCCGCTAACTATTATCGATTGACTCTGTTTTGTGGCTCTCATATCACGAAACGCTTTATCGGCTATAATTGGAGTCAAAACAAAAGCAAACAAACAAACAATTAGTTTCATTATTTATCAACAGCGAAGTGTATGTTTAAAAGACATATCAAATGTACTACAAGTTAATTATGATTTATTTGTTTTTAAAAACTTTTATTTAGTTTATCTCTAGTGTTCCTATGGTTTACGCAAATAAAATGATATGCTTTTCATTATTATACAAATTGATATTCATATTAAATGTTTGCATAAAAAAGTGAATATAAGTATCAATTCGTGACTTTGATATACCGATGGCGAAGACGTGCGGAGACATTGTTCCCAACGATTTTCCCTGATATGACTTCAGTGTTGGCGAGGAATACAAGTTTTTCACTTCGAAATACGGGTTCACAGCTATCAGGATATTCGCCACATATGTCTGTCTCAGTGTTTAGATATCAGTCAATGATTATTGTTTATTATTAATTACCAAAAATATTGTTTATTGTGTTTTAAGACACACTTAATTAGAGTTAGAAATAAAAATAATAGTAATAATTGTCGAGAAAATGTGTGATTGATTCAAATGATTGACTCAATTCATAGCTATAAATATCTATCGACACATTCCTGGCGTTGTTTTTAATCGTTTTTTCGCCTTAAAAATGCATTCAATTTTCGGGCTATAATTATATAAAATTATTTAATAATTTTCGGTTCACTGTAACGATAAAACAGTGGGAAATATCGCACTTTTTTAACAAAACAAAATATTTCTTTGCCTAAAAACGAAATAAATTTCTACTTTATCTTCACATCTGATCTGTTATCTAAACGACACGAATGAGAGACGATATCTAAATATGAGATGCATTTCTAATTTTGGCGAAACAACGGCTCGGCTTTTGTTTGTTATTTAGTTTCAGTCAATGAATGGTTTGAAAAAAAATAAAAACCGAAAAACAATAACAAATAAAATACTAGAAAAAGTAGAAGAAGAAAATGAGATAAAATAGCATTCAATCCTTACGTAAATCTTATCCTTTTTATATCGCAATCGTATGTTATTTAAAAGCGTCGCCTCATTCAGAAACATCAGAGCGCCTATGGATTTGGTTCACAGATTAATCGTACAGTTAATCAATATTCAATCAAAAATCAATTTATATTAAATTAATCATTTTTGGCAATTCTCTGATCATTGTTTTGATTATTGGGTAAAAATATATAATTATATGTATTGTTTTAATGCCCTTTTAAATTCATTATGTATTGTGAGAGTCAATTGGCAACAGATATTTGATTGTCTTCTCTCTCTCTCTCTCTCTCTCTCTCTCTCTCTCTCTCTGAAAAAGATTTTCACAAATTTTTTAATACATATGTATTTTTATAGACTTTTTATTATTTCAACTATAATTCTCTTTTGTCTCAAACAATGGGGACTTAATTCTCACTCAGAAAAAAACAAAACAATAAATAATTATATATTTTCTTATTTTCAAAAAATAATTTCTAATTTTGTTTTCTCTTTCGCTTATTATTTAATTGGCAAATATGTGTGCATTATATTCAACAGTTATCTTACAATTGTCGTCCACTTCTTTATTATCGTCATCTTCGGCAGGAAATACTCCATCGTATGTCGATTGGATTTGCTGTATGAATAAATGACCGAGTTTAGTCACATTTAATCTATGTTATTATGTGTTATTTATAAAATATAATTATATATTCAGAATTTTATTTATATATTTCTAAATGCGGGTAAACTGTAGCGAATGAATTATCTATCATATTTATTAACTATTTAATTCTAGCTCTCAAATGACATTAATGCATTTGAACATAATAAGTGTTAATTTAAAATGGTATTAAATGTATGTATTTTAAATATACTGTTCCACATATTTCTTCTTTCTTTCGCCAAAAGAGTTCGTGATTTTAAATACAAATTATTAAATAAATAATTAAATAAAAACATATTTTTTGCTAAATAACTATTCCATCATTTAATGCATTGTAAAACACATATTCATTGTAACAAAAACTATAAATTTATTTATAACCGATATTTCTGGGAATCATGAATGCGTGGAATAATATTTATAAATACAATAATATTTATGTATAATTAGAGTTAGGTTAAAATTATTTAATAAATATAGTTACCTTGTTGTTGATGGTGTGAACGGTGGGTCCATTTGGGCCAATATCGACGATACTGCCCAACAAATAGCCCTCATTCACGTCATTGACCCACACTTTCTGAGATTCCATCACTGGTTTAGTTGTATTGAAATTTCAGATTATATTCCGACGGCTATTGTATTACAACGAGAGAAACGGAGAGAAAAAGTAATTGTTATTAAAAACCATACAAAACACACTATTTTTAAATATTAAATACACGATGTAATTGTTTTATACATAGCACACAAATCCATAATACAATTGAAACTAATAAATCACTTGCTATTCATACAAATGTAGAGAATATATGTAACAATACTACGAAAAAATAAATAAATATATAATTCACAGAAATAAATACTTTTTATTATTGTTTGTTCCCAAAAAACACTAGTAGTGAAGGACAGACAGAGAGAGAGAGAGAGAGAGAGAGAGAGAGAGAGAAACCAACGAGAAAATTATATATATAAACCACTATTTAGTATTAAAACTATTTTTTCTTGAGACACCAATCGATCAAAAAAAACTTTGTATAAAACAATGGAAAATCTTACCCAAAGAAATAGTATTACAATTAATCCCCAGAATAATCATATCGTTATATTAATTGCCAAAATAGCTATAAATACAATGTATTGAATACATTGAGATCAATGAGAGTCTGAAGCACTTTAATTAGTCACGCAATCATTCATTTTGTTTTACTTATGGGCAGAAAAAATGTGTCCAAAAAATGTGTTTTCTTATTATGTATTATAATATCACTAATAATCGCAACGAATAACAAAAGAAACTGCTCTTAATATCCAGTGCTTTGATAGTAAAAAAAAATAAATTCACAAAACTTTTTCTTTACTCTCTTTTCTCCTCTCAATTAATGCATAAATAATTTGAAAAACTAATGAACTTTGAAAGAGTGAAAAGAAACCATTGCTTATTATTATCGTTATATAAGTTATATATAATATAGCGATAAAAAACATCATCATTAAAGTGATTGAACGCCAAGAGTTTTTAATTGTTAACAACTGCTCCCATGTTTGCCAATAGTGTACTCTCACCGGTACTCAACGTATACTGTTTTACAAATACTGTAGTACTTTATTAGCAATAATGTACTTTTCTATTGTAAATTAAACAAGATTAAAAATCTATTTTTTTGTAAATCATATGACGACTGGCGTTGAAATACAGGAATAATTTTATTGTTGTTCATTCGTTGTCTGTTTAATCAGTAGTTTATTTACACTCAATGTTGTATTAAATCACAAAAATTAAGGTCTTTTTTGTTAGATTTTGGTCGAAAATTATTTTAACAACAATTTTTTGTTTACTTCTTCGTTAACCAACTTATGGGTGCATTTAAGTAAACATTAAATTTAAATACAATTATAGCCCTTATTATGGAAACAAACAATTTTTATTATCAAATTTAATTGTAATCATAAAAGCGCTTAAAATCGTTATAATTAAATGCATTTTAATGTAATTTATAATAAATTAAAACTACATTTTATGACTGTTATATTCAGGGCAACCAATGTTAATTAATAGGGACTTTGAGTTGCGATGAATTGCAAGAATGGATAACTAATTCATAGCCACAAATGAAATGCCAATTAAGGATAGCTTTTACACTAGGATTATGTCTTGTGTCTCAATACTACTGTAGACACACAAACACTGTATAACATTATAACTGGTTTAACCTAATTGTCAATTGAGTCGAAAGTTTTACAAAAGTTTTACCGTTGGTTTGATTGTAATTTAAGTGTATTTATACCTATCGTTAATGTCGTATAACTCTCTCTAATCGTATAAATAGATTAAAATGATTGTTCACGAGAAACAAAAATCAAAAATAAAATACTAAACACTAATAATAGGGACTTATAATTGACAATAACTTTCATTCGTCGCCTCATTTCAATGGTTTGGAAATAACTTTTAATTTTATCGTTTGTCGCGAAGCGTTGATAATATAGTAATTAAATTAATTGTATTTCAAACACTGTTTTCTTATAACTAATTTAATCATAATTTACTGTACACTGTATACAGTATAGTGAAAGGTTTATACATAGAGCAGTGAGAAAAACAATACAAACAATAATTGTTATAATTGTCTCATTGATTGATCATTAGATATATTGACGAAAATATAAATATTTCCTTAAAATGAGAAAGTTTTCACTCAATTACCGTATTATCTGTTAATTTCTATAAATATTTATAAATTTAGTAAACTTTTCCCTTTTTTTATCTTTTTGAACCATCGATTCACTGATTTTTGTAACAATTATTTTTTGTATTTCTCTTACATAATAATTTATTATTTTCGTACAAATATTTATTATTTAATTAACGGAATGTTTAAAAGCAAATAAAACTTATGTTTAGAAAAGTAATTTATTAATTCATTTATAAAAATTACTATCTCTCTCTCTCTCTCTCTCTCTCTCTCTCTCGCTCTCTCTCTCTCTCTCTCACTCTAATTAGTAAATGAAAAGTCAAATATTTACGAGTTATTTGAATAATAGATTAATACATAATTAATATAAAGGCAAACCTGTAAACCTGGGAGAGATTTTTGCGGTTCCGGTGAACGGATATAATGAACAATAAACTTATAGTCGAGTATTTAATAATGAAATTATATGAAGCACATTAACCAACACTAATCATAATAAACTTTTTCATTACATTTAATACCATCAGTGAATTGAAAACATTCATAAAAAGCGGTTTTCATAAAAACACAGTTGTGTTATGCAATGCTTTGGTGTTGTGTCTGTTGTGTTACCCCGTGTTATACGGTATACAACAGACAACACACTGTATATACCTGTAGTACACTATACAGAGTTAGTTCAATGTACTTATCAGATGGTTCTTAACCTTTAATACACTTTATATACACTATAATAATAATAATAGTAATAATAATCATAAACCGAGTGTTAAATAATATGCGGACAACTGTTGTTGGTATACATGTTATGCGATATTCACGGACCCATCAAAACAAACGTTTAGATATTTTCTAAGATCATTGGATTTTTACAAATATAAAAGTTTTATAAACTTTTAAATATCTTTATTTATCTCTTAGTTTTTGTCTCACTTATCAATTTGTTGTCAATATTGTTATGAAATACTCATGAAATGATAATAATTGTAATAAATTGTTTGTTTTCCCGGTATTTTACGCTTACGGATGGGTGTGTTTTAAGTAAGAAATTAACACTTATTTTATTATTATTATTGTTATTAATGTTTTTTATTATTTCATTAGAAATCCTGGGTTTTGCGGATCACTTGACGAGTTTCTGAAATTCAATGCAAATAGTTTTTTGCTTTGTTTTGCTTTAAAATAGTATACTTTGTGTGGAAAATAATAAAAACTATTATATTATACTTTAAAAAGCGATGCAATAAACGGATAAAACAATAAAAATACAATTACTTATTATTCAATCCAATTATTGCCTGTTATCTCATCTTTTGAATGCAATTCTTGAGTTAGTATTATATAATCAAAATAGTATTAAAAGGACAAAATAAATGACAAAAACCAGAGATTCAATCCATTATGGTAAAAACAAGGGAAACAATACGATTCACTTGACATTAAACACAATTGTAATGAATAGGAAATGTGTGTTAAGGAAACATTTCTGACGCAAAATAATATTATATACAAAGTTTTCAAAACTCACCGAAAGAAAAGTCACATAATATGGTGAAACTTATGTATGGATAGCGATGCGAAGGCACACAAACATACATATAAAACAATTGTCAATATATTTGTTCATTCAATATATTCAGTACACACTCTGTGTTATAACCGATTCGTTACAGTGAATGGTATTGGAAAATACACACACAAAATATACAGCCGTTTGTTTAGTAAACTTCTCGGATATTAAAAGTATTTTTTGAAAAACAATTTCAATATCAAGTTTTGTGACAAATATTATGCTTTTTTACATCAAATGGCAAAAACTTGTGTATAAAAACTTTGAAGTTACAAACTATTCACCGTTTGGGCACAAAATACATATTTTCGAGGAAAATAAATACTTATTTCATAACAATTTTCATAAATATAACTTTTGTGTCTCACTCAAAAACTTGTGTATAAAAACTTTGAAGTTACAAACTATTCACCGTTTGGGCACAAAATACATATTTTCGAGGAAAATAAATACTTATTTCATAACAATTTTCATAAATATAACTTTTGTGTCTCACCGTTGAGTTAAAACTACTGGTCGGGCGATAGAAGAGAGAAAAAAGTGAACTAAAGTTCCAGTCGAGCGGCTGTTGTCAGGAAGCGTTCTCATAGACAGAGTGTTCGCCACAAACCCATTACATAGTGAATGGAGGCATTGGTAGGGCTGGAGCTGAGACCAGGTGTGTGTTTATATGTGTACGCGATTCAGGTAAGTCTGTGCGGCACAGGTAGTACAGTCTCACTGTTACTCTGTATGTATGGGTTGTCAACGTTTTTTACTACGAAAAAACACTGCTCAACAAAACTCCACTCTCCACAATATATTCTCATATTCAATATTAGCAAAAATTGAATGAAAGAATTTTAAGATATGTTAACAAAACAGTCTACAGAAAAATGATGACATAAAACACAAATTGATTGTAACTCTTTGTGACAACAAAAGTGTCAAGTTTTGAGAATTTATAGCAATTTTATAACCAATACTGTATTAACTTATATTATTTGAATTAAATAATTATGTAATTGTTTTCTATTTTATGCATTCTGTATAAAACATATTAACCATTAAATAATTATTTAGTTAGCAAATTATCTTTAGACTAAATATTTGCTTAATTTAATGATAGTTTTGTTGTAATTTGAATTAAAACAAAACTTAGCGACGAATCAATTGACTAATTTGTGCAGAAAATGTAATAAAAGGTTTACAGAATAAATTGTAATTAAAACAATTTAAATAATTGGTTTAATAAAACATTAAAACATAAAGTACCATGTTATATAAAGTGTGTTATAAACTATAGGATCGAGTGATTAGGTATTTGTTTTACAAAATAATATCTCATAGAAAACTGAATTGTCATTAAATTTAAGTGTATTTAACACTGAATTGAATTCTTTATGATTCGTGACAATTGTCTTATCAATAGACCACTCGTTATATTTGGCCAACACTTCCCGACACTCAGGTCTTTGTCGCCAAAAGGGTGTCGACATCATTGCCAGAAGTGTCCGATATATGCATTGTATTGATGTCTTGAGCACCGATTCTTTGACCTCAAATGTTTGCGAACTATAAAATCATAGATTGTATGTATTTTTACATAATATAAGATTTAATAAACAATTTATTTAAAACACTTACGCCTGAAGATCGATATCAAACAACTCTTCGCCGATAACATAGAGGCTATAAATGTCTGATTTGTGATTATATTGTTTACCCAAATGGACTTCGGGTGACATATACTTCAAAGTGCCCACAACTGAGTGCTCGTAACGGCTGGCGGTGTGTCCATCGATGTTGTGATCAGTGGCCAAACCAAAGTCACATAGTTTTACGATACGATTGCCACTAATATTTGGATCAATGAGAATGTTATCCGGTTTTAGATCCCTATGAATAACCGGTGGATCCGATTCGTGAAGATATTGGACACACTCTAAGAGTTCTCTGAATATTTTGCATGAAATGAAATATTCAAAGACTTCCATCTGTTCTTCCGGTTGTCTTTGGAAGACAATTGGTTTGTCTTTGAGAAGAGACCGAAGACTTTGCGGACAGAATTGCATCTGAATATAGAGATGATTGCATTCAAGCCATGAATTGTAATATTTGACCACAAAATCTGAGTCTAGTTTTGCTAAACTTTTCACTTCTTTCAGAACTCGGAGTTTGTTTTCTTCACTAAAGTCTATATAAATATTTTGTTAAAATTTTTTATAAATTTATTGTAAATTAAATTAATTAACAAAGCAAAAGAGTTACGATATTTACTCTCAAATTGTACTTTTATTACGGCATATATCTTATCATCCAATCTATGCTTTACTTAAATACTGTCCCAAAATCACCCGAACATCTCAACGACATCTCAATGAATAAGTTTTTATAATTGCCATCATTTGATGTATGAATATTTTTATTTTTAGTTTTGCATTCATTTGTATTACAAGTTATTTGGTATTCATTGGCGTAAAAGTCAATAAAATTACAATAATTTGTTTCAATAATTTTGTGCTTATTTGATATTTTATCATTTATTAAAATTCATTGTCTGTCTTATTAAGCCGTGAATATTATAAAATTATTTATATAAAAATAGGTAATAAACATTAAAATTGAACATAAAGATTAGCAAAATAATAAGCTTTTAAATAATTAAATGTAATACAAATGCCATCACCGATAGAAATGAAGGTAACAATTGTCGTCTCGATTATGGGACGCAGTGTTGACTCACTTTCGGCGAGTTGTGCCCGAAGTCATATCCAAGCGCTTCAGATGTTGCGGATCCTTAGCTCTCTCTTCATCTCTCCTCTTTCTCTCCTCCCTTTCTCTATCCCTTTCTTTATCCTTTTCTTTCTCACTCTTTTGGTGATCTGTTTATAATGTAACAAAAATTAAGAATTAATTTTAATTGTAATATTCTCTTATTAGCACATTAGAAAATAATATGAAATGTAACATATAATATGTTACATATTCCATACCTGATTGAATTCCTTTGTTGTTCGCAAACATTTTGCAATACAATATTAGTAACAAATGGAAAATTGTGAAAATAACTATATTTGTAGAAAATTATTAATTTTTCAAAACTTAAATAACTTTCAAAAGTGTTTGAATACCAAATGACTGGTCTATCGACGACTGCAGCCGTATTTATTCATTTCTCTAAACCCGAAAACAATTATAAGAATTGAAAGTATAGGTAAAAGAAGCCACAAAAAATGCAAACACCTATTTAGGCATAGCATAGACATAAATGGCAAGACATTCATCTTCTTTACCCTTTCAAAGGTCATAAGGAATGCCCCGAAATCCAGGATTTACTTAGGATTCTGTTATAGACATTGCATCAGAATTTGGTTGAGAGAGAGAGAATGAGCGCAAAAGAACCGACAAATATTTTTTACAAATAGCCAAACTCTGGACTTAAATTTCTTCTGTAAATGTGGTGAACAAAATATAACTCCTTTTGTGTAATAAATCTTATAACAAAATATTATCAATAATTCATATGCTATGAGCAAAACATCAATATAAATTAATGTTTTGCCTTAATATTCATATACCGTATATTTAGTGCTAACTATTTTGGAGTTAACCATAATTTTTAATTTTGCTTAAATTTTGATTTGTGTCTATAAACAGGGTTTGAAGTGAAGTTAAATATGGATATACAGAATAATGTAGAATATTTATTAGTGTATTGTTCTCTCTCTCTCTCTCTCTCTCTC